AGCAAATTAATTTGCTTGGTCTTCTGATGATGCAACTCTCCTATCTTCATGGCTCTAGTTATATACACCACAACTCTGTCCCTTTTTGAAGAAAGGTTAAAAAGAAAGACACTGTTAAAAGAAAGCCATAAATGGTCCCATTCAAGGTTTAACATAAGTCTATTTGGAAGAAGGAGCAGCACTAGGGGAATGAACCCTCACCATTCATTTTTACTCTTCACACCTCTGTTTTCCTGTACCAGACAGAGTACTATTACAGTAGCTGCAGAAATACCAGATGACTGCAGTCATTGGGTACATCCAAGATTGACAAGAAGCTGAGTACAGAGAGCTGGTGAACTGCTTTGTGGCATGGTGTAGAAACAATAATCTGATCCTGAATATTAACAAAACAAGGGAGATGATTGTAGATTTCAGAAGAAACTGGAACAATCCTGTTAACATCAAGGTAGAAGAACTAGAGGTGGTGGAGAAGTATAAATATCTCTGTGTTCACCTGGACAACAAATTAGTCTAGAGACACAACTTTGAAGCTGTCTACAAGAAGGGACAGAGCAGATTATACACTCTAAGAAAGCCTGGGTCCTTCAGCGTTTGCAGCAAGATGCTACATGTCTTCTATACGTCTGTTGAGGAGAGTGAGATCTCTTCTGCCATCATCTGCGAGGAAAACAGCTTCAGAGTCAATTACTTAAAAAAGTTTAACAAGCTCTTCTAGAATGTCTGGAGATTTTTTTTTCAAAGAAAAATTCTTTATAAAGTGAGGGGCATCATGGAAAACAGCAAGCATCTTCTTCAGAAAATTTTAAAACAAAAACAGAGTGTCTTCAGTAAGAGGCTTCTGCAGATCCGGTGAATGACAGACAGCTACAGAATTTCCTTCCTGCCTACAGCTATCAACCTATAACAACTAAAAAAAAACAAAAAACAAAAAAAAACAAAAAAACAAGGAAAAGCAACAATTTGCAACATTTCATTCGCCTTTAGGATTACTTATGTTTGAGTTGAAATGAATACCTTATTTCTAGCTCCAAGTTGATTTTAAACTATATTATAAACATTTTCATCCCTAAATGCACTGTAAATCAATAGTAAACAGATATTGACAGTGATGACAAATTACTGCTTGTTTATATTCAGCTTCCTTACATTACGCTAAAGCTGGTTTTATACTAATATAGCCTTACAGTGGATAAAGAAAGTGAGCAAATGTGAGTTTCTAAAAAACTGAGTTGGTCATTAATTAGTTACACTCAGTATGACTCCTCTCAGCAGAGGCCAGAGCTTAGAGAAACATCCAAGGAAAAACAGCTACAGAGATCCACTGACTTTTCCTTACATTTTTTGGGGGGCATTGATGATGATCAAATACTAGTTTTCCATATACAAAAAGCTCAGATTGTCTCACTGCCATCTTTGTAAAGTCAAACACTAAAATGCAAAAAAACAACAAATATCAATATATTTGACACATATGCCTTGAAAACACTTGACACTTGAATAAAAGACACATTACGAGCTGAAGGCACAGTCATAATAATCTTAATAGACTCTATAGCAGACTCTATATTTATAATGTAATTATCCTTGATTTGTGGCAGATTTCTCTTGTTTCTGCAAAGCTAAGCCCTACTAATGTTTATTTTAGCTGGCTCTCATTTCTCTGACAAGAAAAATTTTATGAGACAATGTTAAAAGTATTTCTTTTTTATCTAAACCAGGCATCCCCAAACTCGGTCCTCGAGGGCCGCTGTCCTGCAGGTTTTAGAGGTTTCCCTGCTTTAGCACAGCTGATTATGATGATTGCAGTAGAGCAAAAGCCTGTTAATCAACTATCAATTAAAATCAGCTATGCTGGAGCAGAGAAACATCTAAAACCTGCAGGACAGCGGGCCTCGAGGACCGAGTTTGGGGATGCCTGAAACCTTTATTAACTTTTGCAGATATAAAAGATGTGTCTGTGAAATAAGGTTTTTCCTTTTTTAAAATCAACATTAATTCATACATTCCACATTTTATACATCCTTAGACTAGGGACGATAGTGTTAACTTAAATAGTTTAATTTTTAAATGGCTTGTTGTTAATTTTAGGACAATGAAGTAGAAACTATAGCACCCATCAATAAATTAAGTTTTCCAACATGGTGACAGCATTCCCACAGCGAAAACTAAAAAAGTGTAAATGATGTTAAAACAAATTAACCATCAGCTGCCAAAATTTGACTCTCTGCTGTGAAAAAATGCCTGAATCTTTGGCCTTCATACCTCTCTTCAAATCTCCATTCTTTTCCTCTCTGACTTAAAGAGGCATTATGGGGTTTTCTAATGATACTGTGGCCAAAACACAGAATTTCAGATCTCTTCTACCTATTCTCGTAGCTCATGCTCATACTTAACAGTTTTTTTAAATGTATTTCACCTAACCTGAGGTTGCAATTGGTTTCTGAATTGAGACGGATACTCGTAGCTTATGAAAATAACATTTCAATTGTTTTCTAAATGTGACCCATTTAGCCTGGACGTGCTTAACGTTACATCCCAAAAACAGTGCGGGGTATTCCGACCCAAATACATTCAGGAAAACAAGCCACAGGCTTGTAGATGCAGATGCTGAGGTGTCAGTGTTCTCATTACACAATGATTTTGTTGTAAAAGGTCAAATAAAAAGGCCATTTTAAATATATTTTTCAGTAAAAAC